TGGAGGCCTTGCAGACTGTGAATAAGGAAGTCTGGTTTCCCCTCCAGGCAGTGGATCTGTCCAGTCCCAATTCTTGTCACCTTGGGGCATCTAAAGCCTAGAGTGTATGTTACAGCTAAAGTACTTGAACTAGTGCTGATGCGTATTCAGGTCTTCTTGCCCTCTGCTGTTTTACACGGCTGTCTCTAGAGAGATGAGAATCTTGACCTTTCTTTGAGGAAACCTATAACTATCTCCTGCCTTCCCGCCTGGTCTGCTCTCATCAGCCACTGGTTTCCTTTTGGGTATCTTCTGCTGACCCGTAGTTCCTTGATGCTGCCCTGGTACCAACAGTCTGTCCTGTGGACTGGAACGTTGGACCCATTTCCTTATTGTAGTCTGCTGAACATATTTTTAAGGTGCCCTGTCCCCTCTGTACAGCTGGTGTGCCCTAGATCACCTACAGACCCACAGCTGAAGCCCTCACAGGGCTTCAACAATAGACCTTTCAGTCAGTCCTGCTCACGGGGTCCTCCTGCTTGCTTCACAATGCTCCTCTTCTGTCCAAGATCCCCTCCTGGTACCCATCTGCTGCCCCATGCAATCTATCACCTCTTAGCATGTGATTCTGCCTGGCTCAGCTTCCTTCTCCTGCAGACCCTCTGCTAGCACAGTATCGCTTTTCTTAGAGCCGGTGGACCCCCAACCTCAGCCTGGCACAGCCTGGCACAGCCTTCCCTGCCACCTCTGTCCTCTGCCAGCAGCTCGATGTCATTCACGGTGGCAGCATGACTGTCAGCTTCCGTACCCAGCCAAGGTCTCCTGTTCCTTTCCTGTGCTGTGCTAAGAGCGCATGAGCTTGATGATCTTCTCTTACAGTTCTGGAAGGCAGAAGTCTGCTGTGCAGCTGATGGGGGGCTGCGCTTCCTACAGATGTCTGGAGGAAAGGCCTATTCTTGGCCTTCTAGCTACAGCGCCACCAGCAGAGATCTAGTCCCTGTTCCCATCAACACACAGTTTTGTTCTGTTCCTCGAACCTCCCTCCTTGCCTCCTATGACATACTTGTGTAGGTTTCCGAACCCACGCAGATAGCCTTATTTGAGGATTCTTTCCATAGTCACACCTGAAAGCCTTTACTCTGTGAAATAGGTGCCAGTGTGGGAACTGGTATCATTGGAGTTCATAGCTCAATCTGAAGTGCATAGTGACAAGCTAGGCATACTGTTTAGTGGGCTGAACCAAGGTACAGTCAGGGCTCAAAACAGCAAGCAGCACCCCAGGGTTGATCACTACCTACTTTGCTCCCACTAATCCTAATTCTGGTTAACTATGTAGAGCCTCATGGTGTCTGTGCTTCAATGTCCATGTACCCAACCAGTTACAGAGGGAAAATACTAAGAAACATTGTGTCTGTACTGAAAATGGCCAGTCTTCTTGTCATTCTTCCCTACCATACAGTGTAACTTTTGACATGGCATTTGTATTGTCTTAGGCACCGTAAGCCACCCTTAGATGATTTGAAGTGTGTAGGGACCGTGTGTGTAGGTTCTATGCAGACTGCCCAGGGGCTTACCCTGGAGACGCTGAGGGCCGTCTGTGCTTACTAAATGTCTGCAGTGCCCAGCGGTGTTGGAGGTGTGTCTGCTTCCATGCTTTCTCTTCCTACTCGCCCGAGCCTTTTGGAAATGTGTCGTTGCCCCAGTTCTGCAAAGTAAAAAAACCTAGCGGCGTATAAGGGAAGTGACTCATGGCAGATCGCACAGACGGCAAGGTCAGGATACAGTTCCCGTTGCGAGCTGCTCTCCAAGGCTAGACCTCTGCCTGTCCAGCAAGGACACCAACTGCTGTATGCCAGCTTTGTGTCTGGTGTTGCTCCAGTGCCCACCAGCCAGCCTCAGGTCTTGCTGTGGGGTCCTGTGGATTGAGAGAAAGTGCTTTTTACAGTGCTGATATGGAAAAGAGAGGAGAGAGAGAGAGAGAGAGAGAGAGAGAGAGAGAGAGAGAGAGAGAGAGAGAGAGAGAGAGAGACTGAATAAGCTGCCTCAAACAATGCAGAATTGTCTCTGCAGCTGTCAGGCCTGGAAAAGAGGGCCCCAGGGCTGAGGCAGCAAGCCCCATGGTGTTCTTGATGTTTGTACCACAGAAGGAAGGGAAAGTCCTTTTCTGTGTGGTTGTGGGAAGCAGGATCCACAGGAGCCCTGGTTTGTCCTGCCTTGGCCACAGGGCATAGGGCACCAGGACCCATATACCGCCTTCCGACTTCACGTACTCTGGCTCTCCTTGGCTCTTTCCTACTGACTTCCTCTGACTTTCCTTCATCTTGTCATTTCCCTGCTTTCTGCTGTCCTTGAAGAGACAAGTCCCTACGTCACTCCCTGCTTGACCGAGTATGCGGTAGCTTCTCGTGTAGTTCATATGAAACACAGTACAAGGTGTGTCCATGTGTACTCAGTCCTCATCCTTCACACATGGAGACCACAAAGGAAACCCACATCCTTATTCAGCGTCGCACAGGGTCAGGATTTGAATATGGGCCCCTGCAGGGAGTCACACAGGAGAAGAAAGAAACCAAACACCATCCGTTTGAGCAAGTGGCTTCAGGCATCAATCCCAAGCCTTGCCTTCTGTCCTCTCTGGGCATTCTGCTTTGGACCTGCAGGGATCTGTTCCCGGAGACTGGCACTTCACTGCCCACTGCCCTTCAGCTCACAGTTAGTCGAGACTTCTGTCTCAGCATCTGAAACACTGTGACACAAGCCCATTTCCCTCCGTGCGGTCATGTGACAGCGACATCTCTCACACCTGCCTCTGTGTCTGCTATCCTTCACGGCACAGATCTGCTGCCCATCTGGTCCACAGAACCATTGGACTTTTTGACCTCCTGTCTTCTCAGGATTGTTTGTGTTTTCTTCCACTGGCAGCTGGGTTCTCATTTCTCTCCATTTTTTTCCTTCTTCCACTGAATAGCAGGGGACCTGTCTCCAGGGTGGAGGTGTGCAAAGCCACGGGTCACCTTCCATCCTGAGCAACAGCCGCCTTTGACTGTATGTTGCCCCAGTCTGTGCTCTGAAGCACCTGAGCCCAGGAGGTCCGCAGTTCCGTGGCTGATCCTGCCCCACTGTGTTTCAGGTTACTGCCAGGGGGATGGCTACCGCGTTGGTTTCGGCCAGTGTGCTGGAAAGGTGCTGCCTGCCCTCTCGCCAGCCTGAGGTTCCGGAAACCACAGACCACAGCCTTGCCTACTGCGGACCCTGCTGCGGCTGCCCTTCATCCGGGAACAAATAAAGTTCTTTGGCTTGTGGGAAGGGCCACAGAATTCTCTGTCCCTGGTTTTGTACAGCGGGTCGCTGCTCCCATGGTAACGGTCATTAGTTCATCTCTTCCAGGCGTAGGGCTGAAGGCCTTGGTAGGGGTTCTTCGTCAGAACTCCTCAGGCCTTCAGTACTCCCTGGAATGTGGGAAGAGAATGGCCCCTAAAGTGTTCAGTACTCCCCAGAGAGATACAGCCCGTGTGTGTGTGTGTGTGTGTGTGTGTGTGTGTGTGTGTATGTGTGTATGCATGGCATGCATGCATATACACATACACGTGTATGGATGGAAAGAAAGACACATTAAACACGCACATGCATGCACGCTCGTGCGTGCACACACACAGAGGGGGGATTATTATAGAGACTAGAGACTTAAAGCTCCAAATCTGTAGTGCAGGTTATCTGGCAAAATTCTCTTTTCTCTTGTGGCTGTCACCATGTAACCAAGTCCAGCATGTATACCTGAGCCAAGGACAGAATGGACGAGAGTCCTGGTGCTCATCTTTATCCTTCATACCCATTGGAGCTCAGATGCTGCCCAGCCTCTGTCCCCACCCAATCTACACAGTAGCCTTGGCCTAGTTTCTGAGAGATGGAAGAGGATAAGATAACCATGTCTCTTCTTGGGCTGGATGAGTGAGAATCCAGGCCTGCTAATAATTCATGCCTTTCATTATTCATTCATGAGCTTTGTACCTCGCTGACCTTCCTGAGTCTTGGGAGTTTCCTGAGCTCCTCGTTTTGTTTGTTGATGTGTCTCATAACCCTTACTCCCACCTTCCTTTTAGAGGAAATATCTACACAGCACTCCGCCCCTTCCTCCAGCCTTCCCCTCTCTCTTCTGGAGTGTTCCTTGAGCCTTAGAGAGGATGCTATAGACGTCTGCTTATTTCCTCCCATTTATATCTTAGCGTGGAGCCACTGTGCCACGGCAACGGCCACTTATTCTCCAGTTCGACCCCTCATGAAACTCCATAGTAACCCCTGCCCGCTACAAAGAAAAGTTCCCCTGATAGTCGCAGTCATGGCAGGGTATGTGTGCAAATGTTTAGGAGATCATAAGATAGGCACATATTTCTATTTAACAAACAGGAGTCACGTCCCCAACTGCTGGGTTATGACCTGGCTTACAGTTTCAGACATGGGATACTTCTCATTCCAAACATAGAACAGACCTTAACTCTATTCAGAACGTGGTTGAGTTCCTAATAGCCATTCCACTACTGTGCCAGCAGGCACATCTTGCCTGGCATGCTGGCAGCATGGTACAGTAGACACTAGGTCGATAATCAAGGAGGACTATCGGTGACAAAGTTTCCTCTGAAGCCCGTAGAGCACCTCTGGGTTCTGCAGAACCCACTCAGAGAGGGAGCCTCCAGGTCAGTCTCAGCTTGATTCCTACAGGTCCTTTAGCCAAAGCATGTGTGCTTTCAGAAATACAGACTGAACGTCTACTTCCAGCATGCAACCTACCCAGAGGCAATAGATTTTATGGGTTACAGTGCCCTAGTCACCGCTTGGGGCAGCAATGTGTAGGGAGTGCAGAAGCTGCAGCCTTCCCCCCCAGGGGAACCAGGGGACACTGTTTCTCCATCTACCTTGCTTCCCACCCCCAGAAACGGCTGGCAAAACTAGTATAGAATGGGTTTTTTTTTTTGAAAGACTTCATTTCAGTGACTGACATACAAAAAGAGCAATATCTACGCCTTTTATATTTTATTTATTTTTTAAAACTGATACACAAATTGTACATATTTATAGCATATCATAGGGTGTGTTGATATGTGTGTATATTGTGCAGAGCCAAGTCCGGGCAACCCTATATATCACCCCAAGCATTCCTTCATTGTGGTAGAAACATTCAAAATCCTTTCTCCCAGCTCCTTCGAATCCACAGCATAGAAATACAATAGAACTTATTTCCTTAGGACCCAGTGACCAGGGTCCCCACTCCTCCCCCAGTTTCTGGTAACCACCATTTTCCTCCCAGTTTCTGGGTAAACAACAGTTTTGACTCCATCCGTGACATCACGAGTGCTTGCTTTTCTGTACTTGGCTCCGGTTCCATCCATGTCCCAATGACAAGACTTCATCCTTCCTATGGATGAATCAGATCCCACTGTGCTTAGGTACCACATTTTCTTCATCCGCTCATCCACTGATGGATATTTATAAGCTTCCCAGCTCTTGGCTCTTGTGATTGGTGCTGCCATCAATGTGGGATTGGAGTCCTTAGAAACTCTGGTTTCATTTCCTTTAGATAAACCCCAATGGGGGATCATGTGGCATGCCTAGTTTTAAGATCATAAGGAACCCCATGCTGTTTCTATCATGGCTATGTTAACGTATCTTCCAGCTAGGGGGGTTGTGACTCATGAAATTGACTTTTCCACCCTTATAATAACCGTAGATGTTCTGGGTTGGGAATCTGTGGTGACTCAGATGAATGCTTCCACCAGCGAACGTGGTGGGAGTCTGGTAACTTGGAAGATGGCTTTTGTGCCATTTGGGGCTTATTAGGGTGAACCAGTGTACAGAAAAGGGGATGGCCACACTGTCCGGCAACATTTTCCCATAGCCTACAAGCTATGGGATTACTGATATCCCACAGGGGCAAAGGAGCTCCCGCTAGAGCCCAAGGGGTCACTGGGACACTTGATACATCTGTAAGTCTAGGGTTCAAATTCCTAATTAGTTCTGTGGTCTCTGGAGATGACTGTCAAGGACTTATGGAGTCAGTGCCGAAGGACAGGAGCAGGTATCTAACCGAGGCTGCCTGTCTATATCTGTGCCAGAACTGATGTTGGAGGTTCGGCGTGATCACTTCCCAGTAGCCTGGGCCATCAGCTGCAGGGACTACTATGGCCATTATCCATCCTACACAGCAGGTCCAATCCTCAACAACAAGACCATGGGACAGGGACCCGGTCTCATGGACAAAAGACTTTGCAATTATCTCCACTTGGTGCTTGAAAGCAGGACTGGCCTCTTTTGAGAACCTCTGGGGTCTTGGAAGGCAGTTATGGGGGCAAAGAGCCGTTTGTTTTCATTCCAGCAAGGACATGTGGGGCTAGGGGCAAATACTAACAACACTGGCCTTATAAGTACAAGGCCGTGAGTTCCATACCCAACGATGCAACCACTCCACCGAAACAAAACAAATGTAGACATTTGAAAATTCATTAGTGGGGTGGGAGGTATGTGGAGGGAGTGGGAGGAAGGGGGAGAGTGAGAACTTGGATTGGTATGTATAATAAAAAAAAAGATGTTTGTTTTTTTTTAAATAAATAAACAAAAAAAGGAAAAAAAATTAATTGGAAAAGTAAAATGGCCTGATGGCAATTTATATGCCATGCTCGGGCAGCTGGGTCCCACCACTCACATCCAGCACACCCATCCTCTGAGCATGCCCAGGGACCAACTTCCTTCTGGTGCCTATCAACTGGATTTCCTGCTTCTGAATATTTTTATTACCCCATTTGTCTCTGGGCCACCTGGACCCTTTCTGTGGCCGTCTACGGAGATGGACCCACTGTTGAGGTTACACGGGTGTGAAAGGACCATGTGCCTGCCTTTGCCGAGAGCTTGAGGTGACACCTAGGGACTTCCACACAGCACATCACAGGCAACAACCAGAACCCAGCCTCGAGATGCCTTTGTCGGGAGATGTTGTCATCCATTCCCTGCCAGAGAGTTTGCCTTCTTCTCTGGCTTGTAGCTGACTCCACAGTTATCCCTTTCCCCAGCCTCTCTTCATTTCCTTTCTGCCAGCTTCCAGCCTGCAGCCTGATAGTTTGCTGCAGTGTGTCCTTCTCTACCCACAGCTACAGACTTTTGTTCAGCTAGCAGAAACAGATGCAGGTGCTCTGGTCACTAAAGGACCACTTCCTCTATCCTTCAGAACAGAAAGCACAGGAGAAGAAAACCTTGAAATTCTCCACCTCTCTCTTGCCTGCGCGTGACCCAGCGACAGAGATAGGGACCTCCCTTTTGCTCTTGCCCGAAGTGGGCTCTCAGTCTTCCTGAGCCAACCCCAGGCTCAGCCCAGCCACTTCTATCTATCCTTCTCAGCACACGTACAATGAGAAAAAGGAAAGCAGCGTATTTGCTGTCATGGTCTGCACTGCTAAGCACATACACAAGGGGATCCATTTAAAAACAGACCTTAAACATGATGAAAGCCGGGGAAGCTGGGAGATTGGCTCAGGAAGCGAAGTGCTTGCTGTGTAAGTGTGAGGGCCTGAGTTTGAATCCCCAGAACGTATGTGCAAAAGTGGGTGGGGCCAGCAGTGCACAGCTGTGATTTCAGTACTCCCGTGGTGGGGTGGCAGGTGGAGAAAGGAGAATCCCTGAAAGCTCGTGGGCTGCCTAACCTGGGCTCTAAAGTGGTGAACAAAGAAGAGACTGTCTCGAACAAGGGACAGATGGCAAGAGGATGGACAGGAGATGGGAGAGTGCTTTGTTGGCTTGTCAGAAGCTTCTGGAGGGGCAGAGTGGATTTTAAAATCACCTCTTTTCTCAAACGTTCTTTCCCCGTGCCGCCGTGAAAACAGCACAAAGAGATAAGGTGAAAAGTACTAGGACGTCTAGGTTTGGGACGTTGTCAGAAACCAGGGGTCCTGGCAGTGCTTCTCAAACAGGAATGTGCTGTCATCCTGGGGTCTGGCCCAGGCTGCCTAGTCTGATTCTAGTCTACCAAGTCTGTAGGCCTGAGGAGGAAAGAGGGGCTTCTAGCAGGCTCCTCCTGAGAAGGTGTGGTTTTCCCTCAGCAGGCAGTCTGAGGAACACAGCCTGGGGCATCCCGTTTTTTTCCCTCCGAAAGGAAAAGGTCCAGAAGCAAGTTTTCACAGCTCTCTTCAGATGTCTTCTCAATTCCTGCTGCTCTGTCATTAATAGCTGGGAACAGGCCTTGGCTGACTTTGCAAACCCATCCTAACAGGTTCCTGCAGAAATGCCTGCCCATCTGTGAGGTAGGTTTCTGAGGAAGGGCTTGGCTGAAGGTGATGCCCCATAGCCATGTTTGGAGCCTGTGCCAGCTGTCTCTTTGTGCATCCCATTGTGTGTGTGTGTGTGAGAAAGGGAGGGAGAGAGAGGGAGAGGGAGAGAGAGAGAGAGAGAGAGGGAGAGAGAGACACTGGGCATGCCCTGGAAAGCCACCTCAACAGCATCTGTCCACCTTTAGGGATCACCTAGCAGTGATGGTGCTTTGGAAACCTTTTTCCGGATAGCCTGAGGTGCATGGAGATCCATGGCTTGAGTGTAGGTGATGGGGGAGGTCTAAGGTCCACAGCACAGGTCTCTTTTGATAGGACACAATAGACGCACCTCACATATGCAATAACACTGACAGTAGCGACAACTATGTGAGTCGGGAGATCCCCGGGGGTGTCATGTGTTGAGGAGGTGGCTATGAATGTCCTGCAGGCCAGTGGCACTGGCTGGGAGCTCTAGCTCTTGGAAGGCTGGGTTCTTTCCCTAGAGTGAGAGATTCAGGAAAGGATACCCCTGTTTGCTCACGTTCTCTATCTTCTCTCTCTCCACAACAACTGTGTGAGGTAGATGTGATCCCCTGTTTTATAGATGAGGAAATTGGCGCTCACAGGTACTGATTTATTGAGGGGTCATATAACAAAAACAAGGGATTGGAGGCTGGGAAGGGGATGTGGGCTCTGACCTAGAACCCTTGCAGCAAGGTCATAGATGTTGGTGACAGTGTGTGGGAGAAGAGGGTGAAGGAAAGACCAGAGAAGAGTGATCACCAGCAGCCTAGCTCAGCTCCCACAGTAGCATGGCTGCTTTCCCTGACATACAGGCAGACTCCCCCTTCTCATCTTACAATGGTGAAACTGAAGTACCTGGAAGGAGGTGACTTTCTCAAGATCGTACAACCTTTGAGTAGCTGAAGCAGGGCTAGAACCCAGATCTTGCCTGGAGCTCCAGGGATGCAGAGCTTCTGAAGGTTGCTGGGTGAAGCAATTTGGGTGAGAACATTGTGCAAATGTTAAAGAGAAAGAAAAAGACTATACTCAGTCATGACCTAGACAGTACACTCTTCAGTGAGTGAAACCAGCCATGGTATCTTGAGAGGCAGAAGGTATTTGAGCTGTCGAATGGATCAATGCAGCATCATGCATACGGTGTGAATTACTAAAAAAATTTCTTGTAAAAAAGACTTGGAGAAGTATATCAAAATGATGGCTTCTGGGAAGTTGGGTTATAAGTGCTTTTCACATCCCTTCCTTCTAGTTGTAGTTTTATTATATTTATATTTCTTCTATATTTTCCCAAGTGTCTAAAATGCACATCTCATTCTTAACAGGAAAAATATATCCCCTCTCTATTTTAGTTAAAAAAAAGAAACACTGTTTGGAAGTAGCTGTGTGCCTTGTGAGAATTTGCAGGAGAAGCCCCCTGAATTTTCCGTTCTTCCTGCCCCTCTGCTGCTAGGTTGTGGATAAGATCCTGGGCTCTCAGCAGCCTCTCTGTGCTGTGTATTTGAAGGGCAGTCTCCCCCTGCCCTTCACTGTTTGCAGACCAGAATATCTGTTCTTTGTTCATTTCCCAAAGATGCGCAGGAGCCTAGACAGGGGGCCATCACCCTGCAGTCTCCCAGTGGAGTCCCAGAATAGACCCCACCTGCCCAAGTCATGGCTAAGCATACTTCCCAGGTTTCCCCAAACTGCCTCGCCTCCAACATGCTGGCATTTCCCTCCGGCGGTCATGCGAGAACCAATAAGGTGAAGGCAAGCCTTCTCCATCTCTGAGTGGTCATCGTCACTCCCAGCCTCCAAGTGCTTGTCGGGTCTCGGCCAGGGTAGAAAGAGGCGCATCCCAGGGTCCCATGACACGTCCTGTGCCTCAGTCATCCAGGTGTTGCTCCTCCCAGGTAGACGTGGGAATGGCACTGTAAGGATCCATAATGACCTTGGCACAGCGGATGATCATGACGACGAGGAAGAGGCAGAGGAAAACGAAGCAAGCCAAGGTCAGCCCCTTGTCCACATCCACATAGACTGGCTCAGGAGTGGGTTCCTCCATCCTGCAGCTGTGACTGTGGGCTCCCAGGGCTCCGGCCTGACTGGAACCATTTTCTACCCCTGTAGAGAGAACCAGTCAGTGAGGAAGTCAGGCTCACTTGTCTGTGTAATTCATCCCCAAGGTCAAAAGCTTACTGCTAAAGATACCCCCATTTAGGGCCGCTGATGGTCACAGCCCTCTACCTTGTAGGCAATCTTTATTTCCAGCATTACACACCCAGGGTGGTGGTGGTGGTGAAGTGCCAGTGACTCTCAGCAGGACATGGTGGAATGGGCTGAGGGACCACCTTGAGGGCAGTGCCCTGTGGTTACCTCCAATTCTAAAGCCCTTTAGGAAGTCATGAGGGCAACACGCTCCACTCAGCAAATGCAAGGGCAGACCATAATCAAAAGACTTTTAAAAAAATGGGCGGAGAATATTTTTAAAGTATTCAATAGAACACTTCTAAAGAAGTGGAGGGCCAACCAACCAGTATTCCGAGGCAGATAAGAGCTGCTGCCTTAGAGGAGTGGGAAGCACATTCTTCCCGGGCTCCCCAGGACTATCAGGGGCTCAGCCTGTCTTGAAAGATGTGTTGGGGAGAGAAAAGGTGCAAGGTTGGAGCTGTCAGGCAGACCCCAGCCCTGGTCTGCAGTTCTGCTGTTGTAACGGGTCTGGGCCATCCCTCAAACACCTGGGGGTGCCTTCCAGACTTTCAGGCCCAATGCTGTCCCTGCTGAGTGCAGACAACCAACCCTACCTGCCTTATGGGGACCTGTGCGTTAAGTAAAGTTGATCCCATGTTCAAAAGTCCAGCACAGCCTTTGGCCCTGGGATTGGCCAGTTGACAAATAGGTGGGTTGACATAGGACTGGGGCGGGACAGGAGAGGAGGTTTAGCTTGTTCCCAGAGAGGCCAATGGCAGGGCAAAGAACATGAGAATGTGTTGGGAGCAGTGAGCCCCCAGATCCTGGATTTCTTGTAAACAACTTGTTTTCCCCTGATCTGAGTGCCTACAGCTGCTCTGAGCACGAGACCTTCAGGAGTTCCTGATGGCAGGAGAGTGGTTTCTGGTGGGTTTGGCTGTGGCGTGGCTATCTCTATATAATCTGCCTCTGAACACAGTAAAGGGGGCATTCTTGGGGAATTCAAGGATGGCCCGTGTCGCTGTCTCTCTGTTTGTGTCAGTCTGTATTTTAACCTCCGGCCCCCTTGCCCAAAGCTCGCGAACTGGGTGCCAGCGCACAGAGCGCAGACACGGGGGGTGCAAGCGCACAGAGCGCAGACACGGGGGCGCAGTGCACAGCAAGAATGAGAGGCCTGCCCAGCACTTCACAGAGGATCGTTTGGTAAATACGGAAGCTTAGCTACAAAGCAGGTAATTGACAGCCAACGTCCCAACCCCAACCTCAAAGCATCCTCATTTCCCCTTAGGCCCCCTTTATCCTCAACCATTCCTGGACCACTGACCTGCCAGCTGGAGTGGTCACCACTTCAGGAAGTCCCTGGGTTGAGCTGTTCCGGCAGCCAAAATGGACAGCAAAACATCACAGCCAGAGCCAACGAGTCAGCGTGACTTCTCAGAGAGCAGAGCCGTAGGTGACTGGAACAGAACAGAGGAGTGGTTGCTTCTGGAGACTTCTACCCCAAGTGAGACCATGACTGGACAGGAAGGAAGGGTGCCCTGCAGCCCCTCCACACACTTTCCGGCTCGTGATGGATTTTCTTTCTTTTTTTTTTTTGTTCCAATTAGTTTTAGTTTTTAAACATTGCATACAAAGTTGGGCGGTGGAGGCGCACACCTTTAATTTCAGCACTTGGGAGGCAGAGGCAGGTGGATCTCAGTGAGTTAGAGGCTAGACTGAGCTACAAAGCAAGTTCCAGGACAGCCAGGACTGTTACACAGAGAAACCCTGTCTCGAAAAACAAAGAAACAAAAAAAAATTGCATACAAAGAAATGGGTTTCGTTATGGAATTTTCATACACGCTTTATTTTGTTTCACTGATTTTCCCCATCCCCTCCCGCTTCGCTGATCCCTGGTGAGATGCTCCTATCGTGATTTGATGTCACATTCATACTATCTCCTTTTTCCCTTCCCCTCCCCAGCCCTTCTTTATGATCTCTCGCCTCCCCTTCCCATTGCCCCCTCTTAGTTTCAAGCCCTATACCCAAAGCTCCCTCTGTCTATACACAGTTATGAAATTAAAGTTCTCAGAGGAGAGACATCTGAGCTACTTCACTTAACATAATGGCTTCCAGTCATATCCATTTTCCTGCAAAGATGATGATTTCATTTTTCTTTATGGCCACATAAAATCCTTTGTGTACGTGTGTAGCACGATTTAATAAAAACCCAGAGACAAAAATCTGAAAGTCAGAAAAGCAAAAGAGCCAACCATTGATTCTTACCTCTACCTCAGTCTGAAATGGAGATCCTGCCTCCAGGAATCTCAGAATGAGACTGAGTCTGAGAGCTGTCTCCTCCTATCTCCTATTGCTCTCTAGGGCTGGGATTAAAGGCATGTATCACTACTGCCCGGTTTCTACTGGGATTAAAGGTGTGTGCCACCACTGCCTGGTCTGTAAGGATGATCAGTGCAGCTGTTTTACTCTCTGAAGTTCAGGCAAGCTTTATTTATTAAAAATACAAATAAGATATCACTACATATGTGTCCCTTTTTTGTTGTTCCTTCATTTGTTGATGGACATCTAAGTTGGTCCCATTTCTTAGCTATTGCGAATGGCATAATAATAAATATGGATGCACAAGTCTTTGTGGCATCCTTCCTTACATGCCCCAGGCTTTTTAAACTTTTAATTTTTTTTGCCAATTTGGGGGATGACATCATCTAGAGGTATATTTATCAGTATTCTCAAACATGCAGGAAAGCTGAATGAGTTGTAACACTCAGAGCCAGTGAGCTGCCTGTCTGCTTTCTCTCTGTCGAGTGTGTGTTAGGTAAGATGCAGACATAGGCGCATCTCCCACCAGAGACTGCAGCATTCACACCGGTAACTGGAACTCACTCTTTGTTCCTTGTCTCTCTCTCTTTTTTTTTTTTTTTCAAATCACACTTTCGGTGCGAGTGTGTCCCCTCACTCACACATCCCATGGCTCAGGTATGGTGCAGGTCAGAGGACAACCTGTGTAAGCTTATCTCTCCGCCATGTGAGTGTGTGCCTTATTTCAGATCATCAGGCTGGGCAGTCATCTCACTGGGCCCCATTAGAGTTTTCTTTTTTAAAAAAAAGTATGCTGTTTTTATAAGTTGAGAATTTCAGAGATGAAGAGACTTGGGAGGCGAGGAAAGGACAGGGCTTGTTTGTGGTTTCGGAATGCAGAATGTTGCCACAGTGGCACTTGTGGCAAGCCCAGGATTCTGTCACCCCTCCCTAGGCTTCAGGTCCTGCAGCCAGTGTCGTCTCCACGTGGTCACCGAGTGCCTTTCTGAGAGGAAGAAACGCTGAGCTTTCTGCTCCTGGTCTTTCAAGAGCCGACTGACAACGTTCTAGGCAAGTGGCCTCAGGTTAGTATCAGATAATTTGTACATTGTGTGGGTCAGACCTCAGCAGACTCACCTGTGGCCCTCTCCTATCTTGTCTGGCTCTAGATCTTGGAGATTCACCCCAGGGGAATATGATTAGTGTCTCCTGGCCCAGGGGCACGTGTCAATCAGGAATGTGGCCTCCAAGAGCAGACTCCCCCACACTGCTCCCAGAGGGGAAATATCATTAGCCTTAATTACTAGAAGGGCACCTGACCCAGCCAGCTCTGTTTCAAAGTGAGGACATGACACCTGGGAGGGAACTCCACTTGGCACTCAGCTGCTGTATCCTGGGGACTGATCTGGAGGCCGTCACAGTCACCTGCTCAGTTGGTGCTGACACAACCGCACCCTCTTCTCTCACTGTGTGTTCTAGGCCAGTGCTTGTCCTCCACCCTCTAGCTGTAGGGACAAAAGGGTCAGTGTTGGTGATTCTGACCATGGTGAACAAGTGACATTTAGGTGAGAAGTGTCTTCTGGGTTGACCCTGCATACTGGTCAAAGTCTGTAGTGTCATGCGTGGTTGGGGCGAAGAAGAGCCAAGCAGGAAAGAGTCCTGCCACATGCTATGGAAAGCTAGGGGGTGAGATAAACCAAAATGTAGCATCTGGGACCAAAGTCTGAGTCAGAAGTGTAGAAAAACCTAGGGATAAGGTAATCCCAACTGAGTTAGTGAACAGACACAGGGTTTATGTGCAAATTTGTGTACCACACCAGGCCAAATTGGAGATGCCCAGGGCAGGCTGTCGGCCCATCCTCGTCTCTTTGACTTTGCCTTGGAGGAACCTCAGTTGAACTCATAACAGCATTGGTAATATTTGCTAACATGCCAACCACAGCCATTTATACCCCCAAAGTGAGACCTTATCTGTTTATTTGTATTTAGTCATGTAAGTATGAATCCAAACTCAGCGAAAAGTTGGAGAGTCAAAACATGCTTGATTGAGGGGTTATAAAGATGGCTCAGTCAGTAAGGTCCCCAGAAGCACAAGGAAGGGTCTGAGTTTCATCTCCAGAACCCCACTTTAGGAAGACCCAGATGTGAAGCTTGGTGGCATGCCAGCCTATTTGAGTTCCAGAACAATGAAGGAGAAGAGAAGAAATAAAAGGGAGACAGGTCTTGAGAAATGACACCTGATGTCCTCTGGCCTCCGCATGCATATATTTTCTCTCTCTCTCTCTCTCTCTCTCTCTCGCTCTCTCTCTCTCTGTGTGTGTGTGTGTATAGTCTGCTACAGAAGGGCTGGGAATCTGCTTGTGCAGACACATTAAAACATCCTCAGAATTTAGAATACATTTCTGGAATTCCCTCTCCAATTGTGTCCACATCAGTACAGGTCTGTCGCGGCAAACATTTGAGGAGTGTCCTTGGTTGTGTTTGTTTGCTGCTCCCTGATGGTTGCTCTTGTTCTCCGGGAGCTAAGTGGTCACAAGACAAAGCCAGACTTTTTCCAGGTAGTGTACTAAGAGTTATTGTAAATTACCTTGAGATGACCGCACATATTAGTATCAGGAAGTGTTGTGAGCAAAACTTGCTCCAACTTCCTTCTACCCTACTTAGACACAATGAGCCAGAAGTGGTTTTGTGGGTCTTGTTTGGATTTTCATTTCTTTGCGAGGCGGGGTCTCACTCACTACCTCAGGCTGCTCTTCTATCTCTACCCTCTGAGTGCTGGTGCTGTGCCCGCATCACACGGAACCCCCAAATGAGACCACCCCAGAGCCACTATCCAATGCAGACACACTGGGGTTTATTGAATACAGGACAGCTTAGACTATAATTCAACATACCCAATGCAGCGCGTGGGACAACAGCCCTGAGCCTTCAGGGAAGGGGTTTTTAAAGAAAGAAACCGCAAAGCAGGTTGACACAAGCCTTGGCGTTTCGACACTGGGTAAAACTTATACAACTTTTGAATTCGTTGGTTGGGGTATAGAGAAATTTCAAAATAGTGACTGTCAGCAGACAAGAATTTCAAAGCAGCGGTTAATCAGATACCTACAAGGATGTTTGAAGCAAGCAGATGTTGTTTGGACACCCTGGTGGGTCACTTTGACCAAGGTAGGCACAGTTCCTTAGAAGTGTTTATGACTTTTCTGGGCTGGATTCACTCCTCTAGTTAGGTCCTGTCTAAAATGGGAATTCTTTCTCAAAATGGAGTTTGTTCCGCTCCTTAACTGGGATTACACACACGAACCACCAGGCATAACTGGTATGTGTACCTCCTCACAAGGCCACTAATGCTATTGTTAGATTGAGATTCCACTACTGTGGCATAGTTAATATTTCTGTATATTTTTTATTTTTAAAATTAGCCTATAATCTGGGCAGTGTTGGTGCACACCTTTAATGCCAGCACTCGGGAGGCAGAGGCAGGTGGATCTCTGTGAGTTTGAGGCCAGCCTGGTCTACAAGAGCTAGTTCCAGGACAGTTAGGACTATAACACAGAGAAACAAAACCTGTCTCAAAAAACCAAAAAAGAAAAAGAAAGAAAATTAGCATATAAGGTTATTAGTTGTCATTATGACATTTTCAAACCAAGTGTGTTTCAGTGATTCTCCTCCCCATCTCTCCCACCCCTGATACCCGATTCCTCCTTGTAGCTCCTCCCCCAGCATCTTTTTTTTTAATCATGTGCCATCTGTATTTCTGACTGCTTCTGATCCTCTCTTGTCAGCCTTCTTATTCTTTCGTTTGTTTGGTTCATTGGTTTTTCGAGACAGGGTTTCTCTGTGTAACAGCCCTAGTTGTCCTGGAACTAGCTCTTCTAGACCAGGCTGGCCTCAAACTCACAGAGATCTGCCTACCTCTCCTGAGTCACCTTAGACCAGGAGAACTCATGTCTGGCATCTTCCCTCCAGACACCAAGGGCAGAAAGTGAAGGTGTTGGGGGAACATGCCACCGAAGGCACCAGCAGCAGGCTGCAGTGGCATTGTGAATTCATGCAGGGGAACACGAATCGGGGCTGACCATAAGCATCCATCAGTTTGTTCTATAAATAGAAGCAGAGCCATTATAGAAGGTGACCTGTCTGCATCACCTCCCCAGCTGAA